CATTCAGGAGGTCTGAGTCAGTCCCATGCTGACCTCTCAGCCATCATTCTAGAGTCCAAGAGCTCCCCCTTGTTCATGTCAGTCTTGCTATGAAGCCAAGACAGCCTGGTAACTTAATATGGAGGAAAAGCTGGCCTCCAACTGTTTGTGTCTCCCAAGGTCTAGGATCATAGGCACATGTGATCATAGAGCCTTTCCATATCAATGTATTCAGTGTGCATCTGGGATTAATAAACATTTTCTCGACTTTGTTTGATAAAGTTATTTATAAAATTATTAAATGTTAATTTGTATGGACAAAGTATTTTGGGTTCTGTTTATTTTTCCTTAAGATTCTGAAAGTCCATTGTTTTCGGTCTTTATTCATGGTTGGATTTCCTATCAATTTACTACTTTTTATTTGATTTACAAAATTCTTCTTTTTCTTTCTTTTTGTCTCCCATATCTGTCTTCCTATTAGTTAATAAGAGAGATATGTTCATATCAGCATGAAAGCTTATGTTTATGTTTATGTAGCCATGGTTTTAAACAGAAATCTCTTGTCTTCCATTTAAAATACTTACATTTTCTGCACTATAATTGTTCTAGATTTCTAAGTGAAAGTAAAACAAATATTAACAATACAAATGGAGATTCTACTTTTCAGGTTTTGTGCTAAAAGGGATATACAGAATGTAGATGCTACCTAATGCAATTATTTTAGGGCAATGTATTTATAACAGTGACAGAAAGTTGGACATCAAAGTTTTAGTTAAAACTGAGATTTAAAATAATCATCATGGAGTTAATAACTGGGGAAAACAGGGACAAATATACAAATTATATTTCACATATCATATTTTATAATACAGTTTAATAATAATATCAAATGTATAAATCAACAGAAATGCAATAGATTTCCTCAGTAAAAATTTATGTATATGTGTGCACATTAAAATTAAACTTAGTTTCATGGAATTATTGGGATGTCAGGATAAAATACATGAATAATTAAATGAATTTAGAGAGCTTTATTTTCAGCCATGTGTTTTACTTTCATTAACATACATAATTTGCAGCCTGTATCTTATATAGAAAATAAAAGATAAAAATATTTCAGTGTTGAAATAGTTTATAGACTATCTTATTGGATTATGTGTTCCATATAAAATGATTTGAAGAAATATAAGCTCCAGTGTTTGTAGAACTTCACAAAATATTAGACACAATTGTTTCTCTATGTTCTTATCTAATATTCTTCAGATATTTGATAGTTTGGAGATCATACAGTTATCTGTAAATAAAAAAAACTCTGCTTCTTCAATGTGTATTTATTTTACTTGAAGGTGCTTTTAGGCAGAGGAGGCAGGCATGTATGGAATGAAACCATGAGATGACTGTGAGTTCAGAGGATGTATATTGTTGGGGTAAGCACAGTAGAAACAGAAGTATATAAACAATAATGTTTGGACAGAAATTGAATGACCATATATCAGTATAAGGAGGTAGAGGAAAAAGGATAAGATGTTCAAGGTCATTATTAGCTGCCTTGTCCCCAAGGCCATTCTAAGCTACATGAGAGCAAGTCTTAAACAAACAACGAAAGTTTAAAGATCATTTAGAAATCCTTTCATTGAACCAAATTTAGAGTACCCAGGTCAACAGTCCAAACCTGAGAACAGTCAACTTTTACCCAGCCAGGAAAGGCATAAATGCAAAATATTTGCATCAATAAGAGCAAACCTTCTTTTAAAGAAAGGACTATTTCTGCACTAATTACAAATCTTACAGGGCCACCAAGAAGAGTTCTCTCTCTCAGCCCTGATGAACATAACCATAAAATTCTCCAAGGCTTTACTGCCTAAGATGTTACTTTCCAAGGCTAATATTTGCTCTTTAGCATGCCCCTGACTGGAGCAGATATTCAGCTGTGCTTGTAAAGGCCCTCTGAAGCACTTAGAGTGTCCTCAGTGATTATAAAGTGCCCTAAACAGCCAGGATTCCATGAATTCATTCCAGCTCATAACTAGTCAGGAGCCACTTGGCTGATAACTTCTCCATCAGTGTCATCAGACATAAGCCATCTTACAACAGTTTAATTACTTTGTAGAGAGCACCAAAATGGTGTATCTGACACAGAGTCAAAGAAAGCTCAATAAAGAGTTATCAATACAAGTTCCCTATAACAGAACTTAGTAGCATTTTCATTCCAGTGTTTCACTCCTCCCCTGATATCGTGGGGAGAGGTATGTCTTTTGACCTGCTTTAAGAATTCCAGTACTATAGTTGCCAGAGAGCCTGATGACCAGCCTCTTCCTTTGCAGTCACTGTAGGATCAAGCAGAGCCCAGAGGGCAAGCTGCTTTTGTGCTAGTGAAGTAATTATTGTCGATGAAATTAGAGGGGTTCTGGAGTCTAATGATGCCAGTGATACTATAGAAAGGAAGAAGCCAATACAGGTTCTGTGTTGCCTAAGACCTCATACATGAACAGGATTTATGTAGTCATTACAGAGTTATCATCAAGTGGTCAGATTCACAAAGTGGAGATACACAGTAATACACAGTTGTTTACAGAAATACAGTGAGAAAGAGTGATAAAAAAGGTTTTATAGTGTACATTAAAACACAACTTAGCACAGGTTTTTCCTTTAATTTTGGAACATACATACACATACACAAATATTTCATACTAATAATACAGTGACTGATGTCTGCTCATAGAATCATCAATGGGGAATTATTTGCTTGTGTTGTCAGAACCTTACTCAGCCATATTAAACCATTGCTCTCCGTATATCTGTACATAAAATATTTCACACTTGCTGGAACCTATGACTAACTCCAGCTCTCATATGAATTGATACTCTTACAGAGGTAAATTAAGCACAACTCCATAAACACAATGATTTGTATGGAAATACGAAGCATGAGCTTGGAGATGGATCAGCAGCTTAGAACGCTTGCTTCTTCACATGCATGAGCACCAGAGTGCCAATCTCTGAACACAGGCAACAGGTCACATACTGTTGTGCAAAGCAGGTTAAGATCGTTTACTGGGGATCTAGACTAGAACAGGAGCCAAATGGGTGCAGATCATTGTCTCGGTGCTTCTCATCATCTTTTGTTCATGTTTTGTCAATATTTACGTTGTAACGTTAGATAACTCAGTTTATAACATAGATGTTTATAGATTAAATAAACTTTGAGGGTTTTAAACCTCATTTAGAGTCCAGATTTCCTCATAATCTAGAAAAAATGGTCCTTCTTATTCAGCTATAAACTCAGTATAAATCTGTTCATACCAAGTCTCAGTATGTCAGCCATTAGTCACACACTCATTTTGCACTCACTGGAGGATATTAATTGGAGACTTAAGATAAGACAAGATGCTCCAGATGTTCATTGAATAAATAAACATAAAAAGAACCGGGCATTTAAAATGCTTACATTCTTAAATGTTTTATATATGCTTTAGCACAATCACATCAGATCTTCACATTGCTACCTGCACTGTCTTGTCAAGCAAAACGACAGCTAACTTGGAAAAACATAAATTTAGAATTATCATATACTGGTTGATATAAACTGCAAACAACGAGGATTGGTAAATATGCATAATGTAGGTCGTGCTTGACACTGTGAAGGGGTCTAAGAAAACAAGGAGTGCTAAGTGTATGTGCCACACACACAAAATGCACTTGTGATGTGACTTCTTTAAATATAAAATTTCTAACGAACGAATTTTTATAAGGTACCACCAAATAGGCTAGCATAATTAAAAAGCTTTTAATAATAATCTCTAAAGAAATTCATGTAACAAAAGCTGCATAGTTGTATGAATGTAACAAAAGCTACACAGTTGATGAATGATTCAAAAGAATTCTCCAACCCTCTGTAAAAGTTGTATTGCTCCGAGGAAGAATAAGAAAAAAAAGTTATAAAAGGTTGAATAGGCCTTAGGGAACCTTGGCTTGCATGGCCAGTTCTGACTGACCTTGGCTCTTTTATATGCAGTCACATTTTACGTTTCTGCAGATAAAAAGCTGAACAATGTCTGCCGTGCACTGGAATAAACACTTCACTGTGGTTTTCATGCCCCTACACCCAGGTCCTTCCACGCCTGGATCACTGGTCTGTTTCTTTTTTCCAGCTTAGAACAGGAGAGTGGTTCAATGAGAAAATTCACACATTTTCTCATAAGTCAGACACTTAATATCACAAAAACTCCATAACTGGAAATAATTCATTTTTTATTGTAAGAGTATTATTTAATGACACTTTGACTTATATATTCAAAATTATGAATATCACTGATAATAATGCAGGCGTTTATATATCATGTATGAATGATTTACACATTTAAATTATTTGTGTCATTTGTATTCAGCTTTATTAAAGATAAAACGTCTTCCAAATACTGTTATGTGTTAGTATTAAGCATTCTAGGGGCCAGGAAAGAGTCAAAAATCAATTTCCATTCAAACAAGGAAAGGGTTAGCTTTGCTTTCCATTTTTCTGTAAAAGTGAACACCCAAAGTATCAATAGCAGGACTTCCAAGAAGAGTTGTCTAATTTTAAAGGCCAAACACAGCTCATAATATGCTGCCAACTGAGGTACGTGTTAGAAGTCCAATCGCTGCCTCTGAGTCAGATTAAACCTGAACTCACGTCCCCCCTCTTTAAATGCTGGAAAGACATTCTAGTTTCCGGTAGTGTTTTAATTATTAGTCAAGTGATAGTAAGGGCCCAGTATATAATTTATTCTACAGAAGGATAGACACATATTTTTTGAGTTTTTCACAACATTATACAAGCTATATCATATTACATGATACTCAAAATATTATGATGATACACATAGGCTTTTGTTCTTTCCTTCCTGTCATGTATTTTACTGATTTAAAATTCTATTAAATGTTTCTGTAGAGTCTCCCAGTCTTCACATTATGCTAAAACTTGCTTGTATAAAATTCTAATGATTTTCTTCTTGCTGTTTGACAGATTCTTTTTTCTTTTTCAGATGCAACACATGTTTACTCATCCAGAAAGGAAACCTGTGGCACTTCAAAGTGGTGTCTGTACCAATACTCATGGTGAAGCAGTGAGATTCATACTGGTTTACAAATAAGAGTGTGACTAATAGGTTATATACAATGAACAGGGATGATTTAAAAGCAGCTTACATTTCTGAGAAACCCATCCCAACATGGGTAAGGACTCACAAAAACTGCAAATCTAGGGCTCTCTGCACAGCTTGTAGGCACTTCAGCTGCTTAGAGATTTCTTCACCTCAGCTGGCTAGTTAGTCAGTCTTTTCTTATTCTTTTTTATTCTGCTGAGGAGGGAAATAGGAGAATAGTCCTGGTTTCTGAGTCTCATGAGCTTACTGGAGGTAATGTTTCAATTATGGCATACCATACAGTGCCTACATACACACATCAACTTAATATTAATATTGGAATTTATTCAGAACACAATGCACACCTCAGACTCCTATCTATTGTCTTCATCAATACACTTTGAACAGTGTTATTTTCTACATGTTCTTATATAATAATTGCAAATTCAGGGAAAGAATGGAAGATACCAACAGCAATAATAATGATAATAATAATTTTCACTGTCTTATAATCTAAGTATTGTCACCTTCCTTTATTAAATTGACATTTTCATCATTGTTTTGACATACTACTGTAGCTTCTTCCTTGACAATTCAATATAGTAGAGGTTGTTGAGAATTTACAAAGTGCCAAGTTACTGAACCATGAGTAGCAGCAAGATGCATAAGACACCACTATAGCAGTTCAGAGATCTGTAACCCAGTGGCAGACACAAATTCAAACTTAAATATTCTAATTCAACACATACAGTTTGACAATAAGAAGCAATAGAAAATTTTATTAAAATTTAAAGAGGACTCCAATTACTTCTGAAACATTTAGGAAGGTTTCAAAAAGATAGACAAAGTTGAAATTGCCCTAAATGCCAGAACCTCCATCATACACATGTTAAAATCTAGAAGGCCTGCTGAAAACAGTGGTACTAGTGATCCCTTCTCTTGTTAAATTTGTACCATAACAGATGCTTTCCAGAGTCAAATTGGAGTACTGATTTTGAGCAAAATGGGTCATCAGCTAAGACCACTTAAAGATTTAGGCTACATAAGGTTGAGACAATTGAACTATCAGTAATAAGAAGAATTTATGACCACCACTATTTAGTAGCAAAATTTCAAATGAAGGTAGTTAGACATATTCATTTGATCTCCTTTGCTAATGGATGCCTTCTTATCCCAAGAGATAAGTATCCTAAAGCTTTCTGTTAAAAGACTTGAACTAATCTGATCTATAAGATAAGGTTTTTGAATAGTTTAATTTGCTGAACAGATATCATTGTGAATAGAAAGTGGGGCTCCTATGAAACCAAGTCTTTCTGAAGGGCATGGTCACCCAATATACGTTAGTTGACATACTAAGAAATTCACTTGTAGTAGAATGGTGTGACTTTAAAAACAAATGCTGACTTGGGGACACATTTTGAAACTATTTGAAACAATTTATTTGTTTTATGATAGAGCACCCTGTGCCTCTTTGTTTAAGGTTGGGGAGAAATAGGTGTAGGAATGTGGGGTGCACTGCTCTTTGTAGACAGTCCAGTTTAATACCTGTTCTAGCATTTTATTATCAGTAGCAGCCTCTTATCTTCATCAGTGTTCTACTGCTACAGATTAATTATGTGAACAGCCCAGGTAAACATGTCTACTTCATGTCTATTTGGAAACAATTTTTAATTTCCTTTTTTTCATTTGTCTGTAGGTCTTTCCTTTTAGAGTATAAGTGCTTTTCATATTAATCCAAGTGTATTGGTAACAGCATGAGTAAACAGATTTCTCAAATTCTTGCTGTTTGGTTCTAACTCCTTTGTTGGATTTACTAAAAATCCTATAATTTCAAAGCACATACTTAGAGACAAAATGAAGTGGTATAAAAGGTAAAAGGTGAATAATTGTATGGCAGATTTTAAATGATGAGGGGAAAGGAGGGCAAGGCAGATGGTCTAGGGTGAGGAATAACTAACACTACAGGATTTTCAAAAACCAACTACTGTAGGAGATTCTTAAAATACACACATGGATAAATAATTGAAATATTTACCCTATAAAAAGACAACAGTGCTTCTACCAGACATCACATGATATTAAATAAGACATCCAGTGTCAGGAATGGAATTGTTGGTAAGTGAGGCCCTATCAGTCCTCAAATAGTACAAGCTACTACCAATGTTCTTTGTTATCCTCCAACCAGAACTTGAGAGTAAGACCCTAATGCTGAAAACATCATTGACTTGAGTCATAGAAACATGGAAAAAGTAAGCTAAACTCACCTGGAAACTTCATCACTACAGGGTAGCTTTTACAGTGCTGGCAGGTACGTTTGTTGCTAGAGGGAAAATATAATTACCAATCTTGTGAAATTCAAGAACTGCAAGGAGCGGCTTGGCAACATTTCTCAACTGATACAATAGTGGCACAAATGTTATCTTAATAGACATTTAAATGACCCACCCCAGTTGAAACCCATACTTGGCCACATTATAGGAGCCAAGATCCTATGGCTGAAGAAAGGTTGTTGGACCTAGGGGGAAAACAGTACTATTACTCCATTAAATGTCCATTGAATTAAACTGACTCCTAATGGCTTAATCATTATACCTTTGATTAGTGCATTGGTCAATCTTCACCAGAAAAGCTGCTTTTTGCAGTAGGTGGTGATTAATACAGAGACCTACAACTGATCAATGCATAGTGAATAAGAGATTATGGAATGCTCAGACCTAAGGACAACAACTGTATCACGCCCCTCCATCCAAGGCTCAGTCATGGTGGAAGAGGATACATGTATTATCCATGGGCAGTAGATGACTAGAGGAAACGTTATTTTCTGGACACAACAGAGTGTCACACATATAAATGCAGAGCAATTGAGACAGCGTGCCCAGGAGCTGCGAAGATCAGCACCCCTTTCCAAAGAATTCTATCACAGAAAATGGTGGTGAGCACAAAAGCTAACCCCTGTCTAAAGAACTAGTTTGTAGATGATGGCTTTTGGGAAAGGAAAATCAGTTTTTAAGGGTGTGGCACTGGAGGCCACACGTCTAAGAGTATAGGTGCAGCATGTACTGCACTGGATAGTTTAAAAGATAGAAAAGAACACAAATTTGGGGCAACAGAGAAGGAGGGATGGATCTGGGACATGTTGGAAGAGAGGTCGATATGACCAAAATGCATTGTGTATAATTCTCAAGGCACTAAGAAAGAATGTGAAAAAATACCATGTGTGTTACTGAATGTTTGCCGTATCTTGCAACTATATATTTACCTAGTGTAGCTGGAGGAATTTGTTTTTTTTTTGTCTGTGAAAATGACCTATTTAAGATAACAAACATGTATGCAAACGAAAGTTGGAAGGTCATTTCCACTACTTGGCAGATGGATGAGAAATTCCACATAGCCCTGTTGCCAAGCACCTGATATTGTTTGAATGACAGCTGATGATTAGAATCACAAAGAATTTGTATTATTATAGGTGACAGTGTGGCTGATTGAAGAGATTGCTTATTACAGAATTGGTCAGTTTCCTTTTGGCTCCATCCAGGATCCAAGGGCTGCAGAAAATGAATGCACAGCACAGGGTGTTTTCTTATGGGAGTGGAACTAAATGGGAGTGGGAGGAAGAGGGGAGGAAGCCTTGCTGAGGGTGTAAAGACTCACAGCGGGTTTGAGATGTGTCATGCTGTGAAGATGCTCATAGCATAGTTTTAAAGTCATAGAAGAAATTAGAGATAAAGACCCTTTAAGATACATTTTTATGTCTTTTTCTAACTACACTTGGTCACAGTTTCTTTTAGGAGCAAGAGAACCTGATGGATTTGTGCTTCATTATGATCCATGTCATGGTTTCTAGATAAGAATATGTCAGGAGGCATCTTGGTAGAATGTTTTAAGAACACAGCAGTGCAGACTGCTAGTATCAGTGCCTCAATTAGAATATTGAGAGTGTTAGCATCTTTCAGAGGGGTTTGCCAAAGGCTCCCCAAGCTGTGTGTGGAAGCTCTGCTTTTCCTTTGTGCTTTATTGAATCTATTAAAAGACAAACACATCTCCCAGTCATCAGACTTCTTGCTGACAACACCTGTCAGCCTGTCACTCCACTTCATAGAGAGATACTGTAGGGCGTCACTTGACATAATTAGACAGCAAATGGGAAGAAACATATCCAAGATAATTATTCTCACAAAGGGAATGATCCAACTGTTTCTAATCTGAAAATAAATCCAGGCACCTACTTAGGGAGTTAAGATTAGAATGGTTTGCTATAAATACTGATTAGTGGTTATAGAAAATGTGGTGGATTTTCAAATATTGGTAAATAGTTTAGAAAAGCTAGGGTGGGATCAAATTTTATAAAAGTGATAATCTTATACAGAGAGTTCAGGAATATCAAGAAAGTAAGTCTAAGAATTATGATTTCCTAATAGTTTTTTAAATTCACTTTATTGCTTCTCTTTAAATTGGAATACATTTTACTTATTAAGCACAAAGAGGTTTCAAATCGATGGGTCAAATTTTCATTTTTCATAAGTAAGATTATAATCACAAAATTAAAATGCTTTTTTAAAATTTGTAGCTGTATAGCCCCTTGTTTGCAGTTTTACCTGCTCGCATTCCATTCAAATCATCATGATAGACAACAGTCATGCCAAGACCTTTATGTCCACCTGCATACTTGCAATAAACACAAGTGTTTTAGTCATGATATGATTCCTGTTTATAAAGTTATTCTTTATTTGAATCACAGAAAAATGAGAAGACACACAGATATGTATCCCTTAAAATTGTGACTAATATATAAAATTTTTTTAATGTTCTTCTGAAATAAAATGTTAATTATGACCACCACAAGGGAAAATACATATTCGTGGAATTATCTTGAATCAAGCTGCAATGTAACTTTTGGAAACACACACCAGATTTTATTTTGTGAAGCCATTTACTATTAGCAAAAAATATACTATGAGGAAGGATATGAGCAATCAAGAAATTTGAAGTGAACATATTGCCTAGGAATTGCCTTAAGTAATTTCTCATAAAAATCACAATGTAATGGACTTTGAAGGGAACTATTATGGAGATAATATCAACCCTTTTCAATTGGAAGAGCCTTCAGCAGTAGTTATTTTGCTCATTTTTCTTAGCAAGGGGCTTGGCAATTATGCTTAACATTTGATAGGATGTTGACATAGCACACAAGCTATGGTTGCTCAACTTCACTTTATTGGTTTCACAGAGTAAGAATCTAAAGTATTTTTTCTTTCAATATACTTCAGTGACATTCAGTCAGAATGTCAGGTTATTAAATAACAATTCTATGCACATAAGATCACACATCAGTGGATTCATGCTAATACTGCCATCTCAAATAGTTCAGGGTTAAAATTAGATAACATATAAAACTCCAGAAGTCGGGAAAAGAAAGGATGATGTGTTTGTTTCCATTACCTAGGAAATTTTATAGTATCCTATTTTGGGAAACCAAATGTTGACTTCTTGTTATTCTCATATCTCTAGACTCAGTTTCTTTTGTACCCCTGAAGGGCCTAGATTTCTTGGTAATGATTTTGCACCAGGAGGAATACATACTTTATTATGATTTTGTATATACATATACGTGAGTGATGATAGATTCCAGAAGAGACAAGATGTTGAAGCTGACAAAGAATCAAAAATGTTCATTTGAACTTCAGGTAAATAGAACTTCGATATGTGTGTTTGTTAGGGATTAGTAATTGTTTATATCTTGGTTGCTGTAATGGTATTAAAAAGAGCTTCAGTAATTAAATTCATTTTCTTAAATGTCATGGTTTTTATTTTTTTAAGGAACTTATATTCAGCAGAGCCAAAATTTATGAAAAGACCATCGCCCAGATGATTTCAGGGAAACAGCCACCTCTTGGCCTTTTAAGGAAGTTCCCCTGAAAGAAAGCCCAAGCATCTGTCAATGAATTTATCAGCTCTTATTTTTATTAAAAACTCAAAAATAAGTTTTATTTTTAAAATAAAATTCTGTATGCTATGTTCACTCTAATAGCTTTTAGAATCAGAATTTATATACTTTTTTCAAAGTAGCATAAGTTATGACCTCTGAGTTAAGAGTAACTACCCTTGTCAACACTACTATCCCAAAATTTTTATCAGAACTGTTTTCTGATGCTTTTTTTTTAATTTTCAGAAGCTCTCCTCACTATTTAAAAGAATCAGAGAAAATATTATCCAGTCACTTCAGAGTTTAAAGAAAACAAAACAACAAAACTGATTATGAGGGAATTGTCATTTCTATACTGAGCTTGATGCAATTAAAGTCAGCAAAATTTCATGAGCATCTACTTAAGAAAGTACTGTGCAGGAGATATTGTAGAGATCAGTTTCATTAAACAAACAGGGAAGAAAATATTTGGCATTTTAGAGGGTAGAAGGCAGAAGCAGTCAATGAAATCATCTATTTACTCTGAGAATGTCAAACTTGTTGATGTAAGAAAGTTCAACTAAGAATCATTATGAGGTCTTTCATATATAAAGATTAGTGATAAGAAAGTGGAAATCATTTTATTGCTATGTTCCTTTATCAGAACAAAAGTACTTGTGTTTCCACAGGCACATTGCTGATCTAGTCACAGGCTTATGACCCATGAATCAGTGTCCAGCATGGATTCCATCTCAAGGAGAAGGCCTTAAATACAGTCAGGTAGTGGTTGTTTACTTGAAGATCAAAGAGTTCCTAGCTGGTTTGGTGTTTGCCTTTCTCTTCTGGTAGCACACAAAGCAATGTCCAATACTGTGAACATTATTAGTCTGTATGGGTGAAGGCTTAAGATAGGCACTAACTAGACTTCATAGTGTTCAATGATATATGAAAGTGCTGTCTTCAGCAACAGAACTTTACCCTCAGTTTGCGGAGAGCAATGAGTCTGGGAGTTTGCATGGAGCCATTTGGCTTAGGAATTTTATTTGGAGGCAAAAGATGTCTCATTGGGGCTTTGTCTCCCACATTATTTTTGACTCCATTTAGATTTTCTTCATATGTTTACAGATTTTTTTGATGCTTCTGCAGTAGCAGTTTTCCCTATAACCCCTCAAATGGTCTTTAGTTTCAGCTGTGCCTCCTCTTTTTCCCCTACTACTGCCCTATTCCCTACACTATGCTCCATTTAATTTTCTGATCCAATTTTCCTCATCTCTCCTATAACTATGTTTTCTATTACCTTTTCCTTTATTCTATATCTAACTTCTGGTTACATTGACTGTAGCATGTCCATCAAAGTCCTAAAAGCTGAGAGGTGACACCCACATATAAGAAACACATACCATTTTTTATTTTTTGGGGGGGATCTGGGTTGACTTGCTTATGATGCCATTTTTCTTATTTTATTGATTTACCTGTGAATTCATGGTCTTTTTAAAAAATAGTGGAATACATGCACATGTTCATAATCCATGCACATTTTGATTAACATCTAAGCTGTTACTAATTTCTGGCTCTGAGTAATAATGAGATGGTGAACATGGATAATAAGCAACTGTCACTTCTGTAGGATTTAGAGCACTTTAGATATATGTGCAAGGTTGGTACTACTTGGTCTTGAATTAGATCTATCCCTGTGACCTTGATGAACCACCATCCTGATTTCCATAGTGTTTGTAAAAGTTTTCAATCCCATTAGCAATGGATGAGTACTCCCTTTTTCCTAAATCCTTGGTAGCATGAGTTATCATTTCTTTAAGTATTTTTCACCCATTTGTATTTTACTTTTTTGAGAATCATGTATTTAGTTCTATGCCCCATTTATTAACTGGGTCCTTTGTTTCCCTGATGTTCAGCTTTTTGAGCTCTTTATATATTTTATATATTAGCACTATATTTTTTGTGTAGTTGGTAAAAATCTTTTCCCTTTATTCACTCTGCTGCTTTGTCTGAATAATGGTGTTCTTTACCATTTTGAATCTTTTCAGTTTCATTAGTTTCCATTTGTTAATTGTTGGTCTTAGGGCCTGTTAGAAAGTCTTTCCCTGTGCCAATGAGTTCAAGACTATTTCTCATTTTATCTTCTATTAAATTCAGGCTACTTAGATGTAGCCTGAGGTCTTTGGTTTCTGGAGATTATTAATATGGGTCTGTTTTGATTCTTCTATATGAGTTTATTCAGTTTGACCAAGATGACTCTCTCATTCAACTTTTATCATGTATACTTTTTTCCTATAGTAGATTATAACTAACACAGACATCCACAACTGGACAATGTGTAGAGAGATTTTGGAGCACTCATTGTTGAATATGATGTCTTTATTAAACCCTTGCCCTCAGGACTCAGAAAGCTATGCAAAAGAGGAGGCAGAAAAAATGTAAGCATCCTAGGGTATGCATCATTCTAAGAAAACAGGGACAGGAGATATAACAATAATGATGCACACATGAACTCACATATTGTGACAACATTCTGAAAGGTGTAAGATGAAATCTCAAAGTAGCTTTGATTTGAATGTCACTGATTACTAAGGACACCTGGGTGCAAAAAATGACAAGAAATTCCCACAGGATGGTATAGAATATGTCTAGTAAGTATTTGACTGGGTAGCATCTTAAATATGGATTGCCACACTAAAGTTTCTTGGTCACAGACAACATTCTAACAGTTGAGCAAAGGTCAAACCAAGTGTCAAACATCTTTACAAATTGCTAGTCCTTTAGTTTTAGCTATTTTTGTTTAAGTTTACTTCACAGCTTTGGTTTTAACTCTCACAGTTTGAATGAGGACAATAGGTGGGCAAATGACATTATAGTAGAAACCCTCACTTACCTGGATAGAATCATTCAAAAGCAAGCCAGTCAATGTGAGACAAACGCATTCAGTTTTTCAAGAGTATGTTTTCATGCTTTCAACTTTTGTCTAAAAGCTTCAGAAGGTCATAAACTTCTTCCCTTGTCATAGGTGAGGTCAGGTGAAGGTATTTCCCCCCAATCAATTCTATCACTTAAGCAAGGCGTGGATACGTCTTTCATTTTCTGTTCCTTTACTTCATGACCTTGGTCATAGTCAGACATACAATGCATTGCACTGTTAGTCTTTCTGAATAGAAATGAATAAATTTGAATCACATGCCCTACTGGCATGTAGATGTTGCAGCAGAAATGCATTTCAATATTTGTGTGTCTATGTAGAAAGAAAGTTCAATAGGTGGGAAGAAAAAAGAAAAAGAAATGGAATCTTTTCTTACATTTCTTTATAGATAAATTTGGTTGCCCATATTAATTATGCATATATACTCAGTATTTAGTTATTGAATTGATTTGAATATAACCTCCTACTCCACACACATGCACACACACACACACACACACACACACACACACACATAATGAACAAGGGAAGCTCATGGACCCCAGACTTTTGAAACTGATTAAGCCAAAGAACACTGCTAGGAAACAAAAGTAAAGGAAATCACTTGTGGTCCTAAAATCGTATTGTTCTTATTCATGAACACACTGACCTTTACCAGATTTTGCTTGGATTTCAATGAACACATGTGAAATAGAGACTTGAAACTGATGTAACTTTCATACACAAAGCTCATGGCCTTTTATATCCTGTAGAAGATCAATTGTCTGTTATCAAGCTGCACAAATGTGAATGTGCTTCAGAACATAAATCACAATATTGTTTTATTTTTAATAAAGTATAGATTAGGTGACCTACTGATGCTCTTCTCCCTGAGAATACTAACTCTCACTCCTGCTTTTCTTCAGCTGCTTTTATGTAAGGTTAAGACCCTGAAAACATTATACATACTGAGCAAGATATATTTAGGAATATATGTATATATGGATATATATACATATATATACATGCAACAACAAATAGAAAAAGAGAAAAAGAAATTACACTTGGAAGAAAGGAAAGCAAGGATATCTATATCTATATATATCTATCTATATATCTATATCTATATCTATATATATATATATATATGAAAGGGTTTGGAGTTTGTAAAAGGAATGCAGAAATGCTGCAATTATATTATAATATCAAAAATAAAATTAAATACATAAACAGAGAGATGGATAGACAGACAGACAGATAGAAAATGTACCCTCTGGTTATATTTGTCTTCAATTTCTAGGTCTCACAAAACTCGCCTTGACATTAGGATACCATTAGTACACCAGGGATAAATATTGATCTACTACCCAAAGCCCCATAGATGTCCTAGGTCTCCTCACCGACACCCATGATCAGGGGATCTGGATCAGTCCCATGCTGGCGTCTCAGCCATCATTCTGGGGTCCATGAGCTTCCCTTGTTTAGATGATCTGTCTCTGTGGGTTTCACCTGCCCAGTCTTGACTCCCTTGCTCATCACTCCTCCCTCTCTGCAACTGGGTTCCAGGAGTTCAGTTTAGTGTTTAGTTGTGGGTGTTTGCTTCTGCTTCCATCAGCTACTGTTTGAAGGCTCTAGGATAGCATACAAGGTGATAGTCAATCTTATTATTGGAGAAGGACATTTAAGGTTGTCTCTCCACTATTGCTTATATTGCCAGATGGTGCCATCCTTGTAGATCTCTGGAAATCTCACTAGTGTCAGCTCTCTCCTCAAAACTACAATGGTATCTCCTGCTCTCCTCTATTTTTCCCCAGACTCAACCTTCCTCCTGGATCTCATGAACAGATTGGGAGTAAGATGGGAGGGGAAAGGGAGCTGGGAGAAGGGTGACAATTCTTTAAAACTGCATCCCTGGAGTTCTTTGAATATCTTGTAATCATCTCAGCTAAAAATAATATTTCTTCTCCCCAGCAGTTGTTACTGTTTGTGGAATCTTGGAGAGGTCTCTCGGGAACCTTGTAATTTTCTGGAATTTCTTGTGCCTTATAAATTGTATTCACTTCCGGAGTCTTGGGACAACCATCCTTCTTGAGAGAATATGTCAATTCAGAGATAACCAAAAATCACTGATGCAACCATATTTTATGCTTTTGATACTGTGCAATGTGAGAAAAATATTCAGCCAAAGTAGAAAGCAACATCAAATTTGAACACAATAATTAAACAAATGCCTCTACATGTACTTATATTCTGTAAGAGGAGTATCAGGAGCCTAGTTGAGTAAAATTTAGCAATGCTTTGAACTAATATATTTTTTACTGATCTTTTGTTTTCTTTTGTTCATTTTGGATTTGTTTTTGGCTATTATTGTTGAATCTTGGTTGGAAAATATGGCTGTAGCAGAAATAAATGTAAGTTAACTCTATCTGCTATCTATAATCAACTGGTAACTTGGACAGCTAAAGAGATTGCTCAGTAGGTAAACATTGATCATACCAAGTTTGAATCCCCAGAATCCATATAAAAGGTGGGAAGTGTGATGGATGCTTTTAGTCTTAGGATTGGAAGGGCAAAGCCAGATGATCTGCACTGCAAACTGGATAGTTAGGTTAAGTGGATTAGTGATCTCTAGGTTCAGTGTGATATCCACTCTTTATAGGTAGAATGAAGAGCAATTGAATCCATCTGACATCAGCTTCCATTTTCCACAAAGAAACACATAAGTGGACCCAAGCACATGTAAATACAAAACATATAGGTGGATGTGTCCTACCACACATGTACCTCACACTATGTTATATATGCTTTACTACTCTCAGCCCCAGGGACTCTGGGGACTGACTGTGAAATTGTTGCAAACATCGCATAATTGATGCATGCACAATCCATGCTCAATGAAAGAGTGACTTGTGAAAGCTAAGGCTTTCTAATAAACTGTTAAAGGAACAACTACCTGTGTTTTAGGAAGAAGGAATGTCAGCAATAATCCTCAGGAGCCTTCTCAGGCCGTCAGGGAAGAATGACAACACAATTAGACGGAAGGGGGGGCTGTTTAGAAACTCTATGAATTCATTTCCTGGTGAACCAAAAATGGCAAAAATAATGCCTAGAAAGTTCTTGTCTCTTGAAAGGTGATTTCTTTTATGTTGCCAACAGGACTGCTTCAGGTACCAAAGACATTCTTTGGAGAGAATTTCCAGATTATAACATTTGAAAAGGGAAAATATCAAAGTCTCAGGTGGTCTTTGCAGGAGGAAATATTGTGTAGTTCGTCTTCTGAATATATTTCATCTTGTGTTTGTGCACCAACCTGCTTTTAATTATATGATACCATCAAAAGCAGTAGCTATCTAAATTAGACTCCCTTGGAATGCTGTGTGATTTAATTTTTTCCTTTTTTTACTGCATCTGTTTTATTGGTTTTAGCTATTTTTGAAGATATATCATAATGCATCTTTGACTGCATTTTGTACATTACTTCAACCTGTATATTACTTGATATACTTTAACATCATAGTCCTGCTTCTAGCTTGTTACTCAATTCCATCTGTGTCTTGCTACTATAAGGAACTGTACAATAATGATGCTACGTGTTAACTCTTAGCATCACTGCTTTTCCAGCATGGCAGCTACTATGAACCTCCTGCCATTCTCAGGAGATTGCTCTGGATGCCTGTTAGGCTAAAAGCAGGAAATCATTTTGTCTGCAGCACAGAATTCCTGCAAACCCTGACTATGCACCAACAGCACAGTGTGTGTTGGCATTGGGCTTCCCTCCTGGGTACGACGTTTTGAGTATTGCTGCCATTTAAAGTCTGGAAATAGAACGGACTGGGTCCAAGTGGCATGATTGGTACAGGCAGAGCAAGTTTATTAGACAGACTGGGGTTTGCCCTTGGTCTTGAAAGAATTATTACTTAACTCTTAAACAATCTCTATTGTTGCAGGAAAGTATGAGGTCACAGCATCCTTTTTCTTCTGGTAGGGTTGCAGTAACCACAAACAGGACTCAGAATGCAAAATGTGATTTACGCTTCCTGTGCAAAGCTTATCATGCTTTCTGGTAAAACAGAACACAGCCTTAGTGCATTTTATTGTCATGTTAATTGTTAAGCAATTTAATATTCAATTTTATGTGGAGTTGTTACAGCTCTGTCATAGCAACACTATCATTTGCCAATGATATTTAAAACAATGCATGTGAGATGCTATCTTTTGGCACAAGATGGCACACTTTAACTTCAGAATTCTGATCTAATCACAACAAACTTTCTCACCGAGGATGGAAAACAGTCAGTCCTTCAGTCTCTTAGACCAGCAATCTGACCTCGAAACAGAGGAGGGAAGCTGAGAGATGCTTTGCAGCAAAGACAGGGCGTGAGTTACAGCAAAGAGGGAAGGGAAAATGTGGTTGAGGGGGCAACCTTTAGTTTAATGAATTTAAAAATGAAAAAGGTAATTCATTGTTGCCTTCCACATAAGTAAAGAACATCTCTAGAAATAGTTCTTTTATTTTAAAACCCGTGTCGCTCTGAATAACAGATTTCTTGAATCACATGAAGATGAATTGTGAATCCAAAAATTGTATTGTAACATAGATATTATGTTACTTGCAACTAGTTGCTGCTGTCTATACTGTGTGTGTGTGTGTGTGTGTGTGTGTGTGTGTGTGTGTGTGTGTGTGTGCATTTACCTCTTACAAGCAGCTTCAATTCTGATCTCTAGGCAACTCCCTGAAGAATTGTCTTCTGTCATTTACATGTACTGGAGGGTGTCTGTATCAGTGTGCCCTGTTACAGCATGTCCCCACTGTCTGATTCTACTGAACTGTACTCATGGGAAGGAACAGTGAGTGCTTTTGTTTTGTAAGATGCACGACCTTGTCCAAGGCCCTCACCCCATGTCACTTTCATACTTAGATGAGAGCATTGTTAAAACATCCTCCCTTGTTCTTCATTTTACTGAATGATTTTGGTAATATTCACAGGTATTTAATTTTATATTTTTAGGATAACTTCTTTTACAAAAAAATTAACTGCCTGGTAATTTCAACCTGTATGAAATGTATTCCTTTACTTCATTGTTTATATGGAGTATACAATAAGGAAATTGAAACTAAATTAAAAATTAGTATAGGGCCTGTGAAAATCACAGCCAAAGACCATCCATTATTCATATGTCATAGAAAGATTCACAGTGTGCCCAGACATATCCTCTCCTTATTAAAGGTTCTGGCAGTGTTACTTAATTAATGGAAATGTTATTTCTGCTTTTCTCATTTACAAAACAGCTATAATGGTTTTGCTTTACCTATTTCATGAGTGTCTTTCTCTCTCTCTGTGTTTTAGATTTCACATCTACTGTTATTAGTTCTTAATTGCAGGAATTAAATTCATTTTTTGCTAATGCAAATGGAAAGCAAATTGTGTAATGATACTTGATTTCTTACAGATAAGTGATGGCTGGAGAAGCAGAATTGGTTGTTACTCACTGAGCACAGCCAGCAACAGCAGCTCTCACCCAGCATGGACCACAGGAATCTGCAGCTGCTGCTCAGCTGTGTGCTCTCTCTCATGACACATTGATGGTGAGGCAGTACCAACTTGAAGACTCAGGCACCTTTACCATCCTGACTACAGGAGTAGAGTTGTTCAGCACTGCCATTCTCTCACATGACTCTACTCTGTGTGTGTACAACAAGAACTCAACATGACTTAGGAAAGGGAAGTGCAGCACCTCATGGGTGCAAGCAGTAAATCTTTGGAGAATTGGGTGACCAATGTGTGTACTGTGACAATGTGTAGATGTGGTTAAAGAATTTGAGATAGGTATAAACTTTAGACAGTTGCCCCAGTTTGCTTTCTGCTGTTGTGATAAACAGCATCCCAAAGCAACTTGTGGGAACAAAGGGCTTGACTAACATCAGATTACAAGGTGTTACTCAGGGAGGTCAGGGCAGGAACTCTGGGTAGGAACTGAGAGGTAGGACCTGGAGCCTAGGGAGTGGAAGAAGGCTGCTTATTGACTTCCTTTCTTTCTTATGTGATCAAGGAGCACCTGGTCAAGGTGCTGCCACTCCACATCTGCCCCTTCCCACATTAATCACTACTTAAGACAGTGCCTCATAGACATGCCCATGGGCCAATCTGATGGAGGAAATTCCTCAGTTGTCAATATAATTTGTGTAAAGTTGACAAAAACTATCACATCAGCTAAGAAGGGTTTTAATTGCTCTGTTATTTCAGAACTGAACACAACTATTGACATGGTCTTATGATACAGTTTTGATTGTCTTGAAGCTGACTATGTAGGGCAGGCAAACCTTGAACTTGGGCTGGGTTTACATTTTGTGTCATTGTAGCTTAAGCTTCATTTCTTTTTAGATGTACAAAAATATTCATTTTCTTTTATGTGTATGACTATTTTGTCTACAAGTATAGCTGTGTACACTGTACATTCCTGGTGTCCACTAAGGTCAGAAGATGGCACCAGAAATTTTCATCTATTGTCTTGAGCAGTTGTAACTTGGCAAGACGGTGCTGGGCAGCTAATGCTATAATCTGCAAGAACAATTGCTCTTATCTTCTCTATCATCTTTGCATCCCCAGCATCTACTTTCTCTGAACATCAGCACAGTTATAAAATAGGTTATATGTTCAAGATATTTTAATGCTTAAAATGTCTGCATTATTAAAAAGCATTTGGGAGATCTCAGTAATAAGCATGCTTATTTCTATATATTAGAAATGTTAATTTTAGTATATGAAGCTCAGTTTCATTTTAGAAGAGATGTGTTTATTATGTATCCCAAAGGTTTGAAAACTTCTTGGCACTGGCACAATATCAGTTGGCCTGATGTAGTAATACTAATAAAGCCAAGTTTTTTGCCTAAAGTGTGGGTTCTGATATTCTGAAGGACACTTTATTTTAAAGAAATAACCATTTTATCTAATAATAATGGTTCCTCTTAATAAAAGTATTATTTTTTTCCTCAGAATTTCCAAGACATCAGAATTTTACACAGAGGAAAAAAGTCTATAGCCTAAAGCCTCACAAGTACTGCTGAGTATTATTAACAGATTTTAGTTGATTACACACAAGTCTTAAATTGAAAGTTCTCATCCATTCTTTTCACCCTTGTGCCAAGCATCTAATTCCTTCTTTCTTTCTGAAGTCCTGTGTTTCAGCATGTAAAAATTCAGGTCTTGTTTCTTGACTGCATGAGAATCTTTTCTCTGTTTTCCAGTGTTGGTTTTTATGAATACTGCAAGGAACAGTATGGGAAATATGAGACCAGCTATTGTATTTTCATTAAATGTAAACATGTCATAGAGTGGATGTCCATAGCCTTTGTAGATCTTCTATATGATGTCTCCTTAAAAGCTGCAGTGGGAAGGTGCTTGGTCCTGTCTCAACTGAATGTGTCAGGCTTTGTTGACTTCCCATGGCATTCCTTTACACTCTTGAGGAGTGGATGTGGGGGAGGGTTGGGGTGAGGTGAGGTGAGGGGGAGGAGGGAAGAGAGGGGGAATTGTGATAGGTATGTAAAATGAATAAAACAAGCAAAAATACCCAAACAAAACAAATATTTAAATATTAATATCAAGAAAGAAGAAAATGTTGCAAATTTTATTGTGAACCTAAAGAGAAACATTTGTACAGAAAGGAAATGTTTTTGAATCGTTGAATTAATTATATAGTAACTAAAGCCAGACATAACTCAAAGCTTAGGACCAGGGTCTCAGACATACTAAAAGTTTCATTTTGTCTTTGCTTGCATTATTTTAGAATGCAGACAATAGCCATATGGCAGAGATAAAATAAGTCAAAGACTTGACTTCTTATCAGTTAAGGAAATCACCTGAGGAAGAAAAGGTCATATTCACTTTGATAAGTATATTAACAACATATGAGAATGTCATTTTAAGACTTTTTTGTTATTTTCAAGAAAGTTTTTAACAAGTATCAGCAGGCTATGACATCAGGATTTCCATACTTACATAAGAAGATTGTCTTTGTGCCACGGAGAAGATATAATTAGGAATGGTCAAACACAGTAGGACCACCAATTTGAAAGGTGAAATTCCCAAGCAAAGAGCTACTGCTTAGAAATAAAAAAGATCAGGAAGGAACAAGTACAGAGAAACCAACACTCTGCCTAATAACATTGTTAATCTCTATCATCTATCATCTCATCAATTTTACTAATGAAGTCCTGTGTCTCAAGTGAATCTCACATTTCACCGGCATGGAATAATAAATATAATAGCCATTCTTCCCAGTCTAGTTCTTCAAGATGCTGTCAGTTTTGCAAGCATGTAAACTGTTTTTCTTATTTGTTTGGGGAAGAGTTTGCAAAGGTCAGAGAGAAGCCACATGGCTGATAGTGATCCCCAGTCTATGAAATTGAGAATTACTAGTAAAGAGAGCTGTTTCTACTGGTTGGGACCATGTGTTTTTATTTTTGTTTATTTAATGCCTAACTTTTCACAACTGACAGGTCAACTGAACAAGATTTTTGGTACTGCTTTTTTCACAGGCAAACACAAATATTTTCATGTCCTCTTTATGCTTCCAGACTAAAATTTATTTGTTCATTCATTTATTTATTTAGTTTCATTATGCAGTGCAAATTGGACTCTAACTTCTGAATCCTCTACTTCTTCCCCAAGTGTTCAGATTATAGGGGTATGACACTGTACTGAGCTGCAGGTCAAGATTTTAATAGTAATCTCAAAAATATAGGAAATTAAAAAAGGAGAAAATGAAGTTGTTAGAACTAATTTTGATGTGTGATTACTTCTTGCTCCTCAACTATTTTAAACAGAACAAATCAAGCCCTGCATATTGAAGTGCAGAGTAAAGTCACAATGTATTTAAAGCTTGGTGCTCGTCCTCTCAAATGTAGTACCATGAGATGGCTCATGAAGGAATTTTATTTGGCTTAGTGCCTTTCAGTGCAGAAGCAACTAAGTAGTGGGAAAAATCATTACTTTCCAAAACATTTAGTAGGTGTCACATATAAGTAAGTATTTTAATGTCCTAATAATTTTCCCTTTACAAATCAACCATAAAATATAGAGATCAGGTTAATGAGCACACACATTATAAAGACACTTCTATTCCTTGATGCCATGCTAGCAAGTGTTCTTGCCATGATGCAGTAAAGTCTCTGGCCTTGGAATTGCAGAACACCCTGTGTGTTCAGTTGACATCCTTTCTATTGCTATCTGTTTGAGACTATGAACTAGAACAGATTGAAGGTTATATGTCAACTTCACAGACATCCATTTGATTCAGCTATACAAATTGCCATTATTTGAGCATTTATGAAACAGGAAACCATCAATTTCATGTAGCTCAACTCCACATGTAGTTTTGGATTGACACAAAATACGTGTAAATATTTATAAAGTATCCTGTCATGTCTTTATTCACTTACATGACAGGTAACTGTTTTGGTTTTTAAATAATAAGTTAACATTCTTAGTAAGGACATGATTTTAATACATTGGGATGTTCACTAAATCTAATGGACTAGAAGATAGTATCAAAGAGCTTACACAATAATGGTGCTTTTTATTGAACTTCTCTTTGTGTGCATTTATGGGTAGATGTGTGTAGGTGTACTTCAAAGCAGATTCATTTTCCAGATCTGCCAACATCTCTCCTCTCCTCTCCTCCCCTCTCTTCTCCTCTCGTCTCCTCCTTCACCTATCCATTCCCCCATCCCCTCCTCTCCTCTTACCTCCCCTCCTCTCTTTTTCTTTAAGCAGCATTTTTCATTTTGGTTTAATCACCAACCCTCCAAATCCCGACATATGTCCCTCATCACTCTCCTTCAAATTCATGACCCCTTTTCTTATTAATTGCTGTCACATGCATATATTCTTGCATATATATACCCAAATATAACACACTAAGTCTGCATAACATTACTTATATACATTTTTTTCTTAGGGTTCATCATTTAGCAAGTCTCACACGCATGACTTTTCAAATATGAGCTGAACTAAAACATCACCAATGAACGTCCCGAAGAGGATTGGAAAAAGCACACAAGGCCCCATCATAACAGAAAGAACTTTAGGCAACTGAGGAGATATGGGAGCATCCCAAAAGAATAGCACAGCAAGTGGTTGTCCAACGCTTTGCTTGATACAATATACCTCACTATCTGAGAGCTTGCCAATATGCTGGCTTGCCAACAAGTCACAATAATATGACTTCCTCATCCCTGACATTTTTTTTCCAAGTGGGTTCTGGAATCAAACTCTGATTCTTGTGTTTACAATTCAAGTGCATAATTTTCCCTGCCATCATCCCAGGCCCCTTATAAAATTTCTTTCAGTACAGTTAGAATACATACAATATTGCAAAGTTTCAACACTGTCACCTGAAGAAGCTGTCTTTCTCTTCAGTGTAGGTCACACACTCACATTCCCTCTATCTGGTTGTTCCTACATTTCCTCCACGTTGTCCATGTCTCCTTTGTGGTTTAGGATAACTGAATTTCAGAGGCCATGGTTTTTGGTGTTGGTGGTGGTGGTGAAAATTTTCCGTAGTTAGATGGTTAGTAATGGTGGATGCTCAACTTTGTGAATAAGTTAATGCATACCTAATATAGATGGTTGAATTTTAAGGGATGTGAACTCGTTTTTTTTTTAAATTACCCTTTCCTTATTTACATATAAATTTAATCTGTATTAACAATACTGTCACATATTGAATCATATTCCCTGGCTTCCTTATCTCCAGGTTAAAGTAGTTTTCCAGTCACCAAGATTTTATGGAAAAGATTG